ACAAACAATAAGAATAAACATAGTTAAAAAACAAACAACTTAAAAGAGAAAGAAGATCAGGAGAAATAATAAGAAAAATATTTAAAAAAAAAGAGAAAATGAAACGGTAAATTAGAAATATAACAATAAAGTAAAAGAAGTTTGAATAAAACATCCAAAAAAATCAAACATAAAAACACAATATTAGTAAAATAAATAAGGACACAAGTTGTAAAGACGACAAAATAATGAGAATGTAGTAACTAAAATAAAAGATCAAAGATGCAAAAAGAAAAAAATATCTACTCATAATGAAAAAATTAAAAGGTTAAAAGGTTCAAAAAAAAGAAACAGAAAAAACATTGGAAAAAATAAAAAAAGTAAGAAAACAATTAAAGAATGAAATAGAAATAAGTGCCAAACATTGTTACTAGTAATAAAAAAGTGGAAAATATGTAAAGGGGCAGGAGTCAAAGAGCTAATCAAAAAAAAACAGAAAAAATGTAAAACAACAATACTAGATATACAGAGTATGCAAGATAAGATATCAGGAACATGGAAAAAATGTTTAAAAAATTGAGCAAAAAAAGGATAAAAACAGAAAAAAAACATCGAGTTATAACAAAAAAATTAAACGGTTCAAAAAAGTGACAAAATAATAAAGAAAACAAAAAAGCCTCAAACAGTGTTACTAATGATGAAAAAGTGGAAAATGTGCAAAGGGGCAGAAGAAGTCAAGGAGCTAAGCAAAAAAACATAAAAGAGATGAAACAATAATAAAAATTTCCTAAAAATGAGACACAGAAAAAAGCAAATATAAAAAATAAAAGACTGCAGCAATAATTGAGATGTTGGTAAGAAAAAGTTTTATTATACACATTTATTTATTGATTTGTTTCGGAACATACTAAATAATTCGGACGCGATGGCCGTTATATAATTTTCTAATCGACAATAGAAATTATTAATAGACCAAAGTTGAGTCTTGAAAAAATAAAAAATCCAAGTTTGATTAAATAAGCAAGCAAGCAAGCAGTGGTCGTGCATATTTCAAAAAGACGTAACGCTCTGTATAATATGATGTGAGAACAGGTTTTGTTTCCTTCGATGGATGATTTGTGCCAACCTTCTATGAGATACTTGTGTGGTCCACGGTCGGATTCGGTCTTCGGTCGCACACCGAGCACTAAACATTTAAATATTCCAAGATACAAGGTTTAGATAGAGAGCCGCTCTTGATACCGTTGCTCCGACCGACTTGTACCAACGAACTGAACGGTAACGAAAACGATTTTTCATTTTTCATCGACTTAATTAACTTCAAGGGTGAGGGCTGCTTTACGACGAATCACTCATTAAAATCATCCAACGAGAATCATGCTGTTTTAACGAGAATATCAGTTGGCCGATGGCAGCTGTCAAACGGACACATGAGGCGCCACAGGACGCTAAATTAAAAATTGCCGAGACGAAGAATTTCAACAATTCATTCTAATGCAAAAATATATTATTTTGACCCAAGGAAGCCAAAAAATTGATACATTTGTTACATTGCATTTATTACAGTTTACAAATTTTGAAAAAGTGTGCAAAATAAATATATATTTTTTCAACCACACGCTGTATGCATGGTGATTTAAAATTAATTTTTTGAAATAACTAATTGATAAATGATAAAGTACTACCTGTAAGAAAAAAAATTTTCGCATTTTTTTTTGTTTTTGAGTTGTGCAAAATTTTAGTTTTTTAGATGGCAATCTACTATACAAACATTATTTTAACAAAAACTATAAACATTTTATTTAATTTTTATCAATTTTTTTGACAAAAAACAATCGCATAACAAAAACAAAACAAAATGTTATTTTAAAAACACGATCACAAGTTTTATAGTACTTTAATCTTTGTTAATTATTATTTTCTGAAGGTAAATGATTTTAAAAAATTGCTTGGTTTCATATTTTTATACACCTTATTCGTGAAACAAATAAATAAATAAAACAAATAGATTTTTTTGAGTTAATATCTAAAAGAGTAGAAAAAAATATAAAAATTCTTTTGAAAAATATAAATCTGAATGCAAAAGTAACAGAAGGTTTCTGAAGGTAAATGATTTCAAAAAATTGCTTGGTTCCATATTTTTATACACCTTATTCGTGAAACACATAAATAAATAAAACAAATAGATTTTTTTGAGTTAATATCTGAAAGAGTAAAAATATGTTTATATCCAAATTCATAGAAAGATAAGACTTAGTTATGAAAAAAAATCTCAAAGTAAATCATTTGAAATTCAAAAAAAGTGAAAAAAACAACAAATAAAATTGACATATGTAATATCATATAAGAAACAAGGAAAGTTGAATAAAAAAATTATAACCAGAAAATAAAAAAGCAAAATAGTAAAAAGTCAAATATGTATTTATTTAGAAAGAAACAGCAACAGTAAAAAGAAACAAACTCTAAAAAAAAACAATAATTTAAAAAAATAAATGAAGAAAATGAGAATAAGTTTATGAATAGACAACAAAATATTTACAACAAAAATTTTATCTTAGTAATAAACGAATATTCAAGAAAAAGTAAAAAAAAAGAAAAAAACTAAAAGAAATGAGCAAAGTTAGAAGGACAAAAATCAAAAAATATAATAAACAAAAAGGAAAAAATTCAAATGCAAACGAAAACAAAAATAAAAAAATGAAAGATTTCCATTTAGAAATGCAAAAAAATACATACAAATATTTCTGAAGTTACAAATAATTTTTTTTTATATTTTTGTATTGTTTAAGAATAAAATAAAGACTTGAATTCTTATTCCACTTAAGTAAAATAAAGAAAAACAAAGCAAAAATTATCAACAAAATAAAGAAAACAAATAGATGGGAGTTAGGTAAAAAGTATAAATTAATACAGTTTTCAAAATTTGAAAAAATTATAACATTACAAAAATTAGAAATTAGTCTTTACTCAAGCAGGGTGAACCCAAAAAATTTTAAATAATTTTTTTATTTTTTTTACAAAAGTCGTTTTACCTATTGGGGACACACTGTATATCTTAAAAAATTCATAATAACAAAAAATACAAAATATGTAAATAATATTTTTACGAAAACTGTTTAATCTAATTATATGTAGATGACCTAAGAATGACACTAAGTTGTTTTTCTTGTTTTCATAAAACATAAAATATACAGGGTGTTTTCTTGTTATGGTAAAAAATTGCAATTACATATTCTATATCAAAAAATAACACTAATTTGTCAAATAAACAATAGTCCTATAAAGCTACATTACAGATTTACAGAGTGATAAAAATTTAAAATAAAAATTAAAATCTATTAGTTGCTCCAAAATCAGTCGAGTTATATTTATAAAATTTTCCAGGTTTTGTAAGCCATTGAAAGCTCTTATTTTAAGTCAATTATTTTATTTTACTCTTACCAGTGGCGTCCGTACGAGAATGTCGCTGGATAATTTATATATTTTTTTTTTTTAATTTTTTTATTAGTGTTGTATTTTGATATGAAATATGTAATTGCAATTTTTCGCGGTATT